GTGGACCCAGAAAACTCTGTAACTGGAGTGAAGAGATGGCCAAGAGCAGCTAAGGAAGAGGTCCATCCTCTGGAAGATCTGTCTGGCTTCAAAGAACTCTTCCAAACACCAAAACGCAATGACAGACCTACAACTCAGGACAAAGCTGCTAAAATACCCTGCAGATCTCCACAACCAGAACCAGCAAACACCCCAATAGGCACAAAAAGACAGCCCAAGACATCTTTGGGTAAAATGAATGTAGAGGAAGAGCTGGCTGCACCAAGGAAGCCCTCGCAAACACCAGGGGAACCCAGAAACACACTCAAGGTACCAGTTGAGGACAAAGACATCATAGCGTTTAAGCAATCTGGAGAGCAGAAACTGGGCCTGGCATCAAGTGTAACTGGCAGCAGGAGAAGGCCGAGCGCAGCTGAGAAAGAGACCAGGTCCCTAGAAGACCTGGCTGGCTTCAAAGAGCTCTTCCAAACACCAGGTCACACTGAGGAGTCAATGACTGATGGCAAAACCACTACACCTTGCACATCTCCGCAGGAACTAGTGCCACCCAGTAAGCATGAAGACACAGCCCAACACAAGTCTCAGGAAAGCAGATGTGGAGGGAGAATTTTTAGTACTCAGGAAACTAACGCCATCATCAGCAAGCCATGCATACACCCAAACCACCTGTAGATGGTGAGAAAGGCATCAGAGCCTTTATGGGAACTCCAAAGCAGAGACATGACCTGGCAGAAGATTCAACTGGGCACAAGAGGAGGCCAAGAACCCTAAGAAGAGCCAATCCTAGAAGACCTGTCTGGCTTCAAAGAGCTCTCCAAAACGGCCACACTGACAAACAGACTGGTTGACAAAAGCACAAAGTACTCTGGAAACTTTACAACCAGCAGCAACCAACACTCAATGAGCACAAGCAGACAGCTCAGGATATCTCTGGGGAAAGTGGATGTGAAAGAAAAGCTCTCAGCATTGGCAGGCTCCCACAAACACCAGGGCAAACCGTGCACACACAAAGAACCAGTGCCTCGAGGTAAAGGGACCAAAATGCTTCAGGAAACTCCACGGACAGATGTGGACCAGAAAACTCTGTAACTGGAGTGAAGAGATGGCCAAGAGCAGCTAAGGAAGAGGTCCATCCTCTGGAAGATCTGTCTGGCTTCAAAGAACTCTTCCAAACACCAAAACGCAATGACAGACCTACAACTGAGGGCAAAACTGCTAGAATATCTAGCAAAGCTCCACAACCAGAACCAGTGAACACCCCAACAAGCATGAAAAGGTGGCCCAAGACACCTTTGGGGAAAACGGGTACAGAGGAAGAGCTGGCTGCACTAAGGCTCTCACAAACACCGGGGGAAGCCACAGACACCCGCAAGGTACTAGGTGAGGACAAAGGCATCAGAGCATTCAAGGAATCTGCAGAACAGAAACTGGACCCAGCAGCAAGTGTACCTGGCAGCAGGAAGAGGCCAAGAGCAGCTAAGAAAGAGGCCCAGCCCCTAGAAGACTTGTCTGGCCTCAAAGAGCTCTTCCAAACACCTAAACACAATGACAAGCCCACAACTGAAGATAAAACTACTAAAATACCCAGCAAATCTTTACAGTTGGAACCAGGGAATACCCTACTAGCCACCAAAAGAAGGCCCAATAGACATTTGGGGAAAATATCTACAGAGGAAGAGCTGTCTGCACTGAGGAAGCTCTCGCAACTGCCAGGGGAATCCACACACTTACCCAAGCTACCAGGTGAGGTCAAAGGCATCAAAGTGTTTAAGGAATCTGCAGAACAGAAACTGGACCCGGTAGCAAGTGTACGTGTTAGCAGTAGAAGGCTGAGAGCAGCTAAGGGAGAGGCCCAGCCTCTGGAAGAACTGTCTCACTTCAAAAAGCCCTTCCAAACACCAGGTCACACTGAGGAAACTCTGACTGTTGACAAAAGAACAAAAGTATCCTGCACAACTCTACAACCAGAACCACTAGACACCGCAATAAGCACAAGGAGACGGCCCAAGGCAAATCTCAGGAACGTGTCTGCACTGGGGAAGCTCACAGAAACGTCGGGGGAATCCACACACATGCACGAAGTTCCAGTAGGCAACCACAAAGGCATCAAAGCGTTCAAGGAATCTGCAGAGCAGAAACTGGACCAGGCAGCAAGCGTAACTGGTAGCAGAAGAAGGCCAAGGGCAGCTAAGGAAAAAGCCCAGCCCCTAGAAGACCTGGCTGGCTTCAAAAAGCCCTTCCCAATACCAAGTCATACTGAGGAGTCAATGACTGTTGATAAAAGCACAAAAATGTCCTGCAATTCTCCACAGCCAGAGCCAGTGGATACTGTGGTAAGCACGAGATGGCCCAAGAGAAGTCTCCGGAAAGTGTCTGCAATGATGAAGGTCACGCAAGCCTCAGGGGAATCCACACATGCCCATGAAATTCTAGTAGTTAAGGACAAAGGCATCAATGTGTTTAAGCAATCTGCAGAGCAGAAACTGGACCTGGCAGCAAATATAACTGACAGTAGGAGAAGGCCAAGAGCAACTAAGGAAAAAGCCCAGCCCCTAGAAGTCCTGGCTGGCTTCAAAAAGCCCTTCCCAGCACCAGGTCACACTGAGGAATCAACAACTAGTGCTAAAACCGCTACATCGCCACTACCAGAACCAGTGGACACCACAGCGAGCAGGAAGAGACAGCCCAAGGGAAGTCTCAGAAAAGTCTCTGTCCTGCAGAACCTTATGCAAACATCAGGGGAAACCACACACACATCCACAGAACCCCAAGGTAGGGGTAAACGCATCAGAGTGGCTAAAGAATCTGCAAAGCAGAAACTGGACCCAGCAGAAAATGTATATGGCACCAAGAGGCAGCCAAGCACAGCTAAGAAAGAGGCTGAAGCCCTAGAAGTTCTGGCCAACTTCAAAGAGCTTGTCCCAGCACCAGGTCAACCTGGGGAACCAAGAAAGGACGCTGAGAGCCTCAAGACTACTCCAAAGCAACCCCCTGACAGCGGGGAACCTCTGAAAACATTCAGGAGGGTCCTTAGGGCCCCTAAAGCACAATCCATGGAAGACATGGTGGGTACCAGAGACCCTATAAAATCGCAGAGCAAAAGCAACACTGCCCTGACCTCCAAGAGGAAGTGCGGAAAAGATGACTGTGTCTTGGGAACCAAGAGGCTGCGCTGCATGACTGCCACAGAGGGAGTTGTGGAGGAGGAGCCAGCCAACAAGAAACAGAGGACTGTGCCCAGGGAGAAACACTCACCAACTGAACTCTTGGTAGTAATGAAGAAAAGTCTGAGAACTTCTGCAGAGAGCATGGAACCTGTGGGAGATCTGAACAGCAACAACATGAAAACTAAGAAAAAGGAACACGAAGCGGAAGGCTCAGTCACTGCAAATAAGGTAATGGAAAGTGTTACATAATCATTAAATGTCATCTTGGATAGACGTCATCAGTTTTTGCATAATGATTTGCATATAACCTGAATTTGTAAGTGGATATCCTTTTCCAAAGGGGCGTCGTATAACACAGTGGGTAACTGCAGGCTGTGATAAAGAATGTTCCTGGCATCTATAAAGGGAATAGACTAATTTGGGATAAGAACTAGTCAAAATGGTTAATGCAGACTTTAAGAAGAATTTCTCAAGTATCAAATGAGTTTTGTTCATCTTCAAATGTTTGAAAACTTGATCAAAGAAAAGGTGGGCAATTGAGTTCTGTGTTGTCCCAGACAATGACACCATGACCAGGACCAGGTACAAATACTACCCATGTCACTGCTGACAATCAGAACAGTGTCAGTAATGTGTGTTCTTGAGAAGAACAGCACTGTTGGGACTGTAAGCTCACTACTGCATCTTGGGAAAATTCCAGAAATGGGAATTTCCTGTTCTGTTTAGCAGTGATTGTTAAAGGGTTAGGAATTCATTTGCTGCCTGTAAAATGGGGGCATTTTCCTATAATGTAAACTATAAACATTAGATTTGGCATTTATCATATTAGGCTTGTTATTGACATTTATCCTGAATTTCTTATTTCTAATTTGTTAGTAGAGCTAATCATTCCTCCATAGGGTCAAAGTACCAAGGTATTACCTTGACTATCTTAGATGAGGCATTCTAGAAATATATCTTAGAAAGTTAATGAATATAAAATTTTCAAAGGATTTCTTTTAGTTTACCTTGGATTGTTGTTTTCCCTGTTGAATTTTGAGATTTGTTTTACTAATATTTGGAATTTTTTTGGCTATCTTCTCATTTCTTTAGGGAATATCTCTGCGCCCCAGACGCCAAAATAAATCTGATGTAGAGCAGCAAAAAACTGAGGTTCCAATAGCAGCAGAAAAAACTAAAATAAAGAGAAATGAAAAGAAGTCTGTGAAGACCTCCCAAGAGTTGGAGACTGAAAACCCAGGTGACAGGGCCAAGGAACCCACAGCAAGGGGCAAAGTCAGTGAAAGCAGATCATGCTCAAGATCCCTCCGGCAGAGTAAGAGCTCCCAGCCCAGCGCGGCACAGGAGGAGGGAGCCAAGCAAGGTGTGGGAACCCACACACAGAACCAGAGAGAGAAAGGAGTAAGAGGAAATTCAGACTTCATGCGCTTGAGGTCAAGGAAGGTTCAAATCCAGCCTGCAGTTAACATGCTGGGGAGCGAACCTGAGCAGAGAGCAACCCGGGCTATGAAGAGACGTGCAGAAAATCCAAAGGAGGTGAGTAATTTAAATTTGTTTCAAAACAGAATGTTTTAATATATTTTTGCCCAATGTTGCAAAGGCAAACAAAAAGCATTATATTGATATAAAACACCCTCCTGCCCGCTGATGGTTATACCAATGGAAAGAGCACTAATCCAAGCCGTATATGTTTTGCCATTTTAGCTATATTTTGTCTGTTTTGAGAATACCACTTCAAATAGCAAATTCACACAATGAAGACTATTCAGAAGAGCTAGGAACTTCCCTAGCTGCTACTTTCAGACTGCTGATGACATAAGTCATATGGCAATTGTAGGTAGATGGCTTCAGTCTTTCCATAGTTTACAAAAACTTACTAATGCAGAAAGGTGGTCGTGTATGGATGTCCAAGGAGTCCTTTGGAAAGCTAGGTTGGACAAACACCAGGGGTGTCCTGAAAGCCAACAGCGCAATGTGAGAGTTCCCGTTCAGCACGGAGTGCTGCTCTCTCGTCCTCCCTCCGCCAAAGAATATCTAAACTAATGATCTATGAATGCTCCTAAAATAATGCCAGATTTAGCTGCTCATAAATTATCTGTCATATGAACAAATCCATAATTTGTGATTACATTTAATTGGTCTTCCAGGGGATACTTAGTTAGCTAGTTTAAAATTAAGATAGCTTAAATTGCTACTTTTTTGTGAGTGGTATAAATTTGATTTATACCATTAGGGACACAAAATTTGGACCTAAAAGTACTGTATTTTGAGTTCAAAAAATGAAATTAATATAGTAAGAACCTTTTTAGAGACAGATTGAGTATCTAAGATAAGTGCAATTGTCCAGACCCGCACCCTGCAGAACAGACTAGGAGGCCGACACTGAGATTGCCAAGAAGAGTGACAGATGCCCAGGTGTCCCCAATACATGCTATACAGACAGGGATGGAGCTGAGCATGAGGACCTGTGTTTCTGGATGGTGGGATGGAAGTTCTAGGGGAGATACTGATAGAATGTGCCAGAAAGTGAGGAGGAGAGGCTCAGAGAAGTACATCGATGCCCATGCAGATGTTGTAAGTCAGAGATGGCACTGGGGGCTGGCTGGAAGCAGAAGACGTCTGACAGGGCAAGATGAGATTCCCGAAACCACGAAAACAGCAGGAACGCAGACAGCCGACTCGCACTGACACATTCACAGGTGTTCACTTGACAGGCTCTAGACACCAGATTCACAGTCTGGAAAATAGTACTTTATCAGAGCAAAACTGAAGAAGAATAAAAGCAAATACTCTTTTAACTGGGATTATTGCTAAACACACGATGGCCAATCCCCAAGGCTGAGCTAGGCCTGTGTTCTGCATGGGGGCATTCAGGCCTCTTTCTCACACACAAGTATCCAGGAGCCCCCTAACCCTAAGTGGTCCCCAACCTTTTTGGCACCAAGGACTAGTTTCATGGGAGACAATTTTTCTACAGATGGGGGCAGGGGGAGGTGGAGCTCAGGCAGTGATGCCAGGGATAGGGAGCGGCTGTAAAGACAGATGAAGCTTCACTTGCTCTCACCCACCGCTCACCTCCTGCTGTGTGGCATGGTTCCTGAGTTTCGTGGAAGACAATTTTTCTATGAACCAGGGGTGGGGGAGGGTGGAGCTCTGTAGCCCAGTTCCTTACAGGCCATAGACTGGTACTGGTTCACGGCCCAGGGCTTGGGGATCACAGCCCTAACCCGCATGGACGTGCTTCTCTAGCATCTGTCCTGTGCTTGCTGAGTGTCTCTAGACGTCTGCAGGCCCAGAAAATGCATGTGTGACATGGATGTGTTCTCAAGGAAGAAGTTTTAGCTTCCCTGGTTTCTCACAGTGGTGTCTTCCCCTCTGAGCTGAAAGAAATAAGAACCACTTCAATAGTGAAAACCAAGGGCAGCCAAGAAGTGACCGGGGTTCCGATGAACACGCCCTGGCCTTACTGAGCAAGGGGAACACTGGCCCTATCAGACCCCACTTCATACGTGAAGTGTGACGTGCAAGCTGAGGAAGGACCACACGGCGGGGTGGTTGGAGACTGTGGGGCCAGAGCTGTGGCCGCAGCTGTAACATGTGAATTCACTGCTTTACAAATAACTGTCTCGTTTGGTACCAGCTGAAAAGGCAGGAGAGATTTGTTTGCTGTCTGCTAGGATAGTGGTAATAACACTGACCTAAACCCACATTCAGAACTTCATTGAGTGTCCCTGCCACCCTCAGAGTCCTGAAGGAACAATGACAGAGCAGGTGAGGTGACCTGCCCTGCTCTGTGGTCGGCAAAGACAGCAACAGGGATTCCAGTCCAGCCAATGTGTCAGAGGAGTGAGTCTTCCCTTAGTTAGCTGTGTCTTTGCCACTCAGTCGTCATCTGGAATGTGGTTTTCGTACTTCATTCCCTCCTGACATTTGACCTTTCCACATGGATATTTCAGTCATTAGGATGAACATGTGTGTTGCACCATGATATGGTGAAGCCTTCAGACAGTATGAATCTATTTACGATCATTTGTATCCAAACAAAGTCATAGACTTTTTGAATTCCTGTCTTTTGTTTTTCTAACTATTCTCTCCTCTACTCTCGATGCTCACCACACAACGTTGTTTCTGAAAAATGCCTATTGTCATGCTTCGCTTTTTCTCACTGGCTGTTGTGTGGGACTGCGTTAAGTCAGAGTACAGACACCAAGGTTTGAGGGCACCCATTCTGGAAAGGCAAGATCTTTTGTTTTCTTGGGATTTGATCCAAAATCAATATGGAAATGGCTCTATCTCCCAGCTGCTCCTAAGCAAACACTGCCTGGCATAGGGGATGGACTTCAGAAGGCCTCTGGCCACAGTCAGCTGGAATATTGTCCTCCTCATGGGGATAGGTTGGTTTAGGAGATGCAAAAGATTTAATCCTGACTGTACATTTGAATTCAGGTTTTCTTAATGCCATTTTTTAGTTAGTGAAAATGTGTACATTGGTGAAGAAATTTTGTGGGTTTTTTGTATTATGTATTACCTTAAAAATATATTAGAAACTTTTATATGAAAATATACAATGTTTAAATGTAAATAATAAAAACTGTTTAAATAAGAAAAATATCTTTAACAGCATATATCTTAAAACTCTTTTACAACATCAAAATTAATTTTCTAGAATTAAAGACTTGCATAATACCTAGTAAGGGTTTGGGGTTTTGCAGAGTAGGGTTGACAAAAATGGTTCTTTAAATTACTTAAGAGTTATGTTTTTTCTTCCCAAACAGGGTAAAGACATTGTGTTCATCAAGAAAATGAGAACCAGAAGTCATCGGGACAGTGAAGATATTTAGCAAAGAAATTTAAGTGGGAAAAAATATAATAAAATTAGTTTTGTGATAAGTTCTAGTATAATTTTTGCCACCAATTTGAAAGTGAATTTTGAAAGTCATGCTATCAGTTTATCATATAGTTTATCAGAACAGACTACTCTGGGTCTCAGTGGGCTTCACGGCGCCCACAGGGAGCTCATGAAGTGGGTCCCTGTGGCTCCTGGGGTGGGAAAACTGTACATGGGGTGTGGGGAGCAGCTGAGCTTTGCCCTCAACTTTGCCAACTAAAGCCCTGAAGTGTGTCATCTTCCAGAGCGTCAGCTGTGACAGCCCTGGCCAACCCAAGTGCCACTGCTGATGTGTTTGCCTGTGTTTCCTTCAGAACATGCAAGGTAGGAACCCCTATTCGGGTTCAGTGCCAGCGCTGACCAGGTGCTTAGTAAGCATTTACGAATTGATGGTGAATAGATCAGTGAAACTCACAAGATCTGTCTCAACAAAGGACAGGGACTGGGGGTGGGCGTTGGTCCTTGTACTAAGTCTGTTGGTCACTTGCTGAGGACAGTCCAATCCTTGGTGTCCTTGTCCCTTGAGAGAATAAAATTGAGATTTGAAGGATGACTTACAAATCTATCTGTAGGAACAAAGGGAGTGACTAGTGGCTTGCCTATTTTAGGGAGTGACTAGTGGCTTGCCTTTTTCTTGTTAAGAATACTTTTCTAACTAGGTCTGCTCTCATCTGAGACGGCCCTACCCCACTAAATCTCAGGTCCTTTTGTGCTGCCATCACAGAATATCTGAGACTAGGTAATTTATAAAGAACGAAGGATTTATTTCTTACGGTTCTGGAGGCTGGGAAGTGCAAGGTTGAGGGGCCAGCAGATGCGTCATTCCCTGGCAGGAGGTGGCAGGGCAAGAGAGGAGAGGAGGCAGACTTATCTCTCTATGAGGAACCCCTCCTGCAACAACGGCATTGATCCACTGAGGCAGCGCCTTCATGACCTGGTCCCCTCTCAGGCCCCACCTCCGCACACAGCTGCACGGCTGCACAGCTGATTCGGTTTCCAGCACATCAGCTTTGGGGGACACATTCAGACCAGGGCAGCTTCTGCCTTCCTGTCACGTACATTTTCTGAGCTCTTACTGGATCTGCTTCCACCTGTTCCTTTTCTGACTGTGCCTGGCAGCCTGATGTCACCTGGTATAGGACACAACACAGATACTCAGAATCTAATTGCTGTTCCCAACAGACCAAGGACAAGGCTCCTCCCCCCACCATGTCAGGATGGCTGACTTGGGAGGTGAGGCCTCCTGAATCTCATCTGAAGCACAGACCCGTAGGTGTAACCGTTGCTCCAGTTTTGTTTCCTGCTGTGTTCTCTGTTCCTTTTTCCATGTCCCTAAGCCTGCCATCCTCTGGTCACCTATCTGGACTCTTCCCCCTTTGCCTGCCTTTCTCAGTGCTGCCCTTTTCTGCTTCTTTAGCTATTGAGAACAGGCTTTTATTAGGGCTCTTTTAGGTCTGTGCCCATTAGTGGTTCTGGGTTGCTGGCTGCTTTAGATGCAAGGCTGGGGCGTATTAGGCAAAAAGTCAAAATAAAAATACCCTCCCCCACCCTTGTCCTCCCAGGGAACTCACTACTGCGTCATTCCTCTGTTCCTAGGGTCCCTCACTGGTCTACCCTCTTCTAACTTTCAGAGTCTTAATGTTTGTTTTATGTACAGTGTCCAGGGTTTTTAATTGCTCTTAGTGGGAAAAATAGGAAAATGTATGTTAATTCCATCTTCCTGGAAGCACAGGAGAAGGTCTCTCAAGGGGAGGCCTAATCCGGTTTTTGAATTTAGGAAGAAAGACAATGTTTTCTGAGTCTACCTTGCTGTGGACTTCAAAGTGTGAAGTCATCTTCCTCGGAAACTCTGGGTGGGATTGGGGTTGGGGTTAGGGTTAGGGCCCACAGTGCACAGCTCAGAGTCCTGTTTGGACCTGAGGAAGAACATGGGCCTCCTGGAGGGGGCGCTGTTTCTGTGCTTCATGCAGACCAGCTGACACCAGCCAGCCCACTGGCCACTGTGCCCATTCACATCTTAGGGGCTGTTTCTGTGCTAGGTCAAAGTTAAAACCAATCATCTGTCTAAACAATTCTCACCTCCTAATGAATGTCACGTCTGAAAGTACATAAAGCACAGCAGTGAAATGAAGAGACGTGAAGACAGAAACACAGGCTCGTATTCAAAGTAAAGGTTTATCCTTGGGTTGGAGTGGTTTAGATCTTGCAATTTGCATATACAAAGAATTCAGCAACATTCACTGGCATTATAATCAGAGCAAGATCAAATTATAAATGTAACAAAAGAAAATATAGTTGAAACTGTCATACATATATTATAAAGATTGCACATAAATTAAACACAACTTAGTTAAAGAAGTATCAGTAATCATACATTTAAAAAAATAACACGGGCATGTCTCCAAATGCTGAAACACAGGTGTCAGGCTCTTTAAAAAAGTTTTTAAAAACACATAAAAATACCTTTTAAAACACTGGTATGCGTTCTTCGTTCGTGTAGCATATGGAGAGAAACCCTAAAGTCAGTCACACAGTGACGATAAAGCGTATAGATCAGAACGGTTGTCTTCTAATCGCTATTTGGCATTTGAATGCAACTGCATGCAACATAGAAAGACAAGAAAGGGACAATGATGTCGTCCACAGTGGGCTGTTGTGTTCTGTACAAGGGACTTTCTTTGACTGAAGGGAAGAGGAGATGAACTTAACATCGCACAGAGGAGATACGGATCCCCTCTGCACGCAGTTACCCCCAGCAGACTGTCTGAACCGGGTGTGGGCATAGGCTCCTCTGAAGGGCAAGTGTTGCCCCAGATCGGGGAGGGGGCAGGTCCCGCATCCCAGGGAGGGTGGTTTCTGCCTTGTTTCTGGAACGGGAAGGGGTTGGGAACAAGGCAGAAGCCTTGCAGTGGACATCTAGGACGGTCCAAGCAGGCACAAGCGGGCACTTTCCTGAGGACACTCTGGAACGGTCTATCTTAAAAGGTACTTCTTGATACAAGAGATGCCGGTTAGACCACCCAAGGGCTTCAAGGATCCCGACAAAGAGCTCCTAAACTTGGACCAAACCTGTGCCCCTCCGTGTTGACTGTGCACTCTCAAATAAATCAACAGTGTAATGTCACCTTCAGCACCACAAGCTTCTCTGTTTAGGGCTCAGTGCTGAGAAAAGCTGCTTTCCCTCTCTTCTCCTTTAGTCAAAGAAAGGCTTTTGGGTTTGGGATTTTAACAATGAGAACAAAGGGGACCAATTGGCGAGCATCAAAAGGCTCCTTCCGTTGTCGTCTTCCACCTCGATGTTTAGTCGCCACAGCAGGAGAGGGGATGCTGAACTTCAGCAGTGTGCAGCCCAGGGACGCAGCTGGTGGTGATGGTCACAAAGTGTAGTTCATCCTTCCTGCGGGCACCGACTCTTGCCTTTGGATGCGGCTCAAGCAGCCTACTATTAGAATGCGAACCTATCCCAGGGTTGCATTTGCACACACTGTCCTTGAACAGGGGATAAACACTGAAACTGGAGGGTGGTGCGATCAGTTGTCTGGGAAAATGTCAGATAAGGCCTTTAAATCTATATATCTCTTTTAAAAAGCAAAAATGTACCAAAAATGCACACATTAAATGCTTTGAGTAAGGTAGACCAGCTGTCTTCTTATCTATATTGTGCTCATCTGCTAGGTATCTAATGGTCATAGGAAGATAACTGGTAATAAATTAAATGTTTCTACATTCACACCCCCTGCCCTTTTTGTGCCCCATAAGCCAATCCTATCTGGCAATGGGATCATTATCCAGTGTCAAAGGTCTCAGTAGTATTTCCATCCAAAAATAAGTTAGCCTTTAGAGTAAGGATTTCTCTTTCTTTTATTTAACATTGAGGAGTGGGACTTTAAAAAACTGTATAAATCTAGATTTCAAGGTTTCTTTTCTTATAAACAATCTTAGCTTTGTACAAGAAATTTTTAAATACCAAAATGCTTCTCAGAAAATTTAAAGTTTAATCGCTCGAGGTCATTCTGTTTCTACCCCAATGTGTGCTCCTCGACTATGTGTACGTAAGACGCTTGGCCTCATTTGGACGTTTGGATGGGACGTGGTTCTGCATCGAGCCTGAAGCATAGCTCAGGACCAGCATGGGCAGCGGTGCCAGAAAGGGAGGGGGGAGTGGGAGAAGCAGCTGGCTGGACACTCTGAGGGTTATCTGGGTCAGACAGACAGACAGATGGACAGCAAGTGGTTTTTGGAGTGCAGCTCCAGTGGCTGGTGTTGGTGTACCCAAGGCCATGGGCCAACTGGACGGCACGGCATTTACAGCTCTTCTCATCCAGCCACCATACTGTAGACATAGTCTCGAATAAACGCATTTTTAAAATATTACTGTGTAGTCACCAACTACTCTAATGTGTTCTAGACCTGGATTTAGGTGCAACATCTTCCTGGACCTGTAAAATGTGAGATAAGCCACATGGGTGGTGACCGAGGACTTTACAAAAGTCCCTTTTTACATTGTAAGCGTCACGAACAGTTTGCCTTCGAAAAATGCTGCTCTTCAGAGTTGTACATCAGTGTTAGGAAAGAGAACTTTCAAATGACTTCTGAGTCCTCAACTGTTTCCTTAACAACGGGCATTGTGTTTAGTACTTGCACAAGCACACTGGCACATTAAGACTTAGAACATTTAGAGGTGCTGAACGTGTGAAATTAGATAGTATGAATGTGATGAAAAGTTAAGATATTTACTGATATTAGCAGAAATATATATTTTATGGTATATTATTTCACCTTAATACATTATTCCAATTTTTAAAAGGGGTATTTAAGATTTAATAACTTTATAGCAGGTAGCCTTGAAGGCATAACAAAGTATATACAAAGAAATTAGGAAGGATATTAATGTCAACTGTGAAATAAATTAACATGATTTTTACAAAATATACTGACCATTAAATTAAAAAATATTTTAAGGCAGGAATCTTCATTTGAAATTAGCATAATCAGAAAATAT